AGCCAGGCAGGGACAAATTTTCGGACAAACAGCTTCGACATCTCGACGAAATCAGCAGCAGCAGCAACAGCAACAACAGCAGCAGCAGCAGCTTATGCAGGGTGTCGGCCTTTACGTGCCAGCAGGACCAGCGCAGCCGTACACGCAACAGCTCATGTCGCAGTATCAGGTGGAGGAAATGATTGTTGAAGAGCAATTTACAGATGCAAGTTTAATGAAACGGGCTTTACATAGGAGCGCGTAGCGCAGCGTACTGCAGAGGCATCCACCAAGTTGCTCGTCATCTCAGCAATTTTCACGGCATTTTCAGTTGCTGTTCACCACATCCGAAATCGAAAGCAATAGAATTTTGAGATGCAAGACACACCGAACTGTTTTCTCATTCTTTTCCACCCGTCGTGGAATTGATTTGATTTGCTCAGGCTTCATCAGTTTTTCATTTCTTATTTTGAAAGACAAAATGCCTATTGCTGAAAATTGATGGAAATCGTGTTCTGGCGAGAATTTGACCAGTTAAATGACTTCCGAAGTGACCGAAGCAGGAATAGCTGGGGATGGCGAGCACAAACAGAAGTGATGTAGATGCGGATAAGCGACGCGACATGTGGACGCAGATGAGTAAAATTTAAACTACATGCTGATAGTCTGAACAGCTTTAATAGCCCAGGAAGAACATAAAGTAGGCGCAGTGCGTTTATGTTGTCATGCGGTACGCCTTTACGACATTTCATTGACCCTAAAATCGTCGTGGTGGTCGAAAAGCTTACTCGCTTTTGTTTTACTTTTTCAGTTCTCCTGTACTCCCGGGGTTTTGTTTTTTGATTCATTTTAGAATCCCTTGTTATTGCTTTTTTTTCATACCAGGAACACCAGATCTATGCGTTGTTGCTTTCTTTTTTTCTGAATAAGCGGTAATTCATGTCTTGTTATGTCTGGTCTTCAATACTGTTTTTCTCGAGTTTTCTGTTGAAAATTCTTGTTTCGACCAAGCGCGGCGTTTTTATTTATTGTTCTTGTTTGCAGGTGCCTTATTTTGGCCCATATCCGCCGCAGTTGTCAATGGGCGCTTCAGCTAGTATGCCACCGCCTCCAGTACCCCCGCCAACGACGAATGCTGTGATCACAGCACCTCCGCCGTTTCAGCTCATACAGGTGAGGAGACTACGATTCTTTAAATACAGATTGTTTCAAATTATTCTTATTTTTTCGAAAGGGAATGGCGGGGAAAAGGGATGAAAGCAATCGATTTTTTTTGATAGAAAGTTGTAAATGTTGGGCTTTAAAATGTACGAAGCTCTGCT